GACTTGTATCAATTAATTGTGGGTCAAAGCATTTTATACGCACAGTACATTGTTGCCCACCCAAATTCAGCTCTTGCTAGACCATTTGCATGGAAACCTATCATGGTTTCTGAATTTAATTTTTTTTTTTTTTTTTTTTTAGCCTAACCCTCAACATGGGCATTACAAAAAATAATGAATTGCGGTCATATTGGTCCACAGACCCGATTCATCATATGCCCTTATTCTCTGCTTTTACATATATGCCCAACATGGACCAGCAATGTACTGGTAGGTTGCTGGACTTTGAGTGGTTTATAGCGGGATGATCCCTGCAGCTACAGGCATCATCCTGGTATCGTTTTTTCTCTGCTGGTGGTTGGCTTTCATGTAAAGCTATCCTAGTGGCCAATTAGCTGCTGAATCCTTTTTACAAGCAGCAGAAATGGACACCCCCCCCCCCCTCCTCCTGCTGCCTTCCACAGTTTTTTTGAGCTCTCCTGTCCCACAGGGGAATCTGAGACTGCAGCCGGCAGTTCTTCTGGCTGACCATAGAGCTGATCAGAGACCAGAATGGCTCCGATCATCTATATGATCTAAGAAACCGGAAGCTATGAGTATTTAATCATTTCGGGTTTTGCCAGACTTTACAAGCACTATTTTTTAATTGGGAAAGCACCTGATCATACCGATCTTGGTGTGATCAGATGCTTTAAGGGCAGGGGAGATATCTAGAGTCTAATAGACCCCAGATCTCTCAGAAGAGTACCTGTCACTGTCTATTGCTATCACAGGGGATATTTATATTCTCTGTGATAACATCAAAAGTGATTTAAAAAAAAAAATCAATTAAAAAAAATCTCCCTGCCCCTCCTCATGCTCATATGCAAAGATGAACACAAGCGTTGGTCCCGTTTCAATATGTAAACAGAGATTGCACCGTGCATGTGCCACGAACGTCAGATCGAGGGCAGTAATTATAGCATTAGACCTCCTCTGTAATTATAAATTGGTGACCTGTAAAGGCTTTTAAAGCATCGCCTATTGATATTAAAAATGTATGCATTTTGTCACCATTGCACGGGCATGCGCAATTTTAAAGCATGTCATGTTTGGTATCCATTTACTTGGCGTAACACCATATTTTATATTCTATCAAACAATTGGGCAATCTCCGCGCAAATACTGTGTGACGTAAAAAATTTCAACACCCACCTTTTCATTCTCTAGGGCCTCTGCTGTAAATATATAATGTTAGGGGTTCATAGTAATTTTCTAGCAAAAAAAAAGTGTCAGAAAAGGCTTGGTCTTCAAGAATGGGTGATGTGTGGCATAAGCGTCTAATGTTGGCCCTAACATGCCAGGATAGTAGAAGCAACCCCTCCAAATGACCCCTTTTTTGAAAGTATACACTCCAAGGTATTTGCTAAGAGACATGGTGAGTATTTTGCAGATCTCATATGTTGCCACATGTTTTTGGAATACAAAGAAAGAGAACAAAAATTAATTTTTTGTTTTCTTTTTTTCATTTTCAAAACCCTGTGACAAAAATTATATCTGCAAAATACTCACCATGCCTCTTATAAAATTCCTTGGGGTGTCTACTTTCCAAAAAGGGATCATTTGGGGGGGTGTTTGTACTATCCTGGCATTTTAGAGCCTGCAAAACTGTGATAGGTAGTGGGGAAGTGATATGAGGAAATATGCCCTTTGAAAGCCTGGAAGTGGTCATTGGATTTTGGGGGCCTGTATGTAGCTATGTGGTATCCCCATACTCGGAAGAAGTAGAAGAATGTGTTTTGAGGTGTTATTCCACATATACCCATGGCATGCATGAGCAATATATCATTTAAGTGACAACTTTGTGTAAGAAAAAAAGCACCTCAAGAAATGTGATAGGCAGTCAGAAAGTCAAAGCTGTGTAAATTCCAATATATATTTATATATATATATATATATATATATATATATATATATATACCATAGTTTGTAAAATATCATGAATAGGCGAGCGCTAGAAATAAATACGGAGCAGCTAGCACAAAGATAAAGGTAACAACCCCTAAAGTGCAGCGCTAAATAAATTAATAATAAATAAAAAGATAATTGATGCACAAAAGTGCAGCATTAAATAGTTAATGTAATATTGTGAGACAGTCAAGTGCAGCATATAAAGTGAAACTCAATAAAGTCCATATATAAGTAGTGTCCATGAGACTACAAGGCACAGCAATCACGGTGGGACTACAAGGCACAGTAATCACAGTGAAGGATAAACTGTGAAGTGATCCAGTAAGGGAATCCACCACCTCTGCCAGATGTACACTCACCAGAAAGCTACTGGTAAAATAGCATGTATATCACATCAGGGAATGAGAAACAGCCAGAAGCCTGTAGAATGGACTGCTCCGCCACAGGCAAACTGAAGATGGAATCTCTCCTAGAACAATAGCAAAATGGCTGCCACTCCGACCTTCAGCAATGGCGGCGTGACGTCAGCACGTATACATGTATTGGGATTTTTTTTTTTACCAAAGACATGTAACAGAATACATTTTGGCCTAAATTTATGACTAACTTTGAGTTTATTGGATAATTTTTAAAATCAAAAGTGAAAAATATTGTTTTTTTTTTCAAAATTTTTGGTCTTTTTTTTGTTTATAGCACAAAAAGTAAAAACCGCAGAGGTGATCATATACCACCAAAAGAAAGCTCTATTTGTGTGAAAAAAGGACATAAATTTTGTAGCATTGCACGACCACGCACCTACCAGTTGAAATAGCGTAGTGCAGAAGACAAAAAAATGGCCTGGTCATGATGGGGAGTAAGTGGTTAAAAACGAAAAATTTCCAAAAATATCTTATTAATTAACAAGATTGTATAAAACATGTATTTTACTGTTTTTTCCTGCATTTTCCAAAAACGTGTGGTAAAAAAATTACGTTTTCACCAATACCTTTCACCAAATACCTTGGAGTGTTTGATTTCCAATATACTGCCCTGGTGCTCCAGAGCCTCCAAAAGTATCATAGTGGAACTTAGAACTGAGGTAGGCAGTCAATAAATGAGGAACAATCGATTTTAAAAATATATATACCATAGTTTGTAGACTCTATAATTTTACGCAGACTAAATAATATATGCTGCTTTTGGTCATTTTACTACAGAAATGTAGCAGAATACATTTTGGCCTAAATTTATGAAAAAAAGATTTATTTGCAAAATGTTATAACAGAAACTAAGAAAACTTTTTTTTAAATGTTGGTATTTTTTTTTTCATTTATATAGCAATAAATATGTAAAAAAATTATACAAATTTCATTTGGGTACAGAGTTCCATGACTTAGTAACTGTCATTTAAAGTGTGACAGTGTTAAATTCTAAAAAATGGCCTGGACTGGAAGGGGGTGAAAGTGTTTAGTCTTGAGGTGGTTAAAACGGTATCCTGACAGGTTTTATGGTATTTTATAAAGCGCCAATAGTTCACTCAGCGCTGTACATTACAAAGGGGGACAGAACATGTGACAGAACAATACCAATACAATGCAAAACATGAGGGGATCGAGGGCCCTGCTCTTTCGAGCTTACAATCTAGAAAATGTATTTTTTGTTGAGGACTTGTATTCAGACAATCAATAAGTGCTGCTTCTGTACAATTTTGTTTCTCTTCATTTTTTTTAAAATTTGGATTTCATCACCTAGTTCAGATTTCTTTACTTTTTATTTAAAATATAACATTCAACTCATCTAATCCCTGACCTCTTCAACTGAGAAATCAAATGACACCCTTGTCCAGATCATGGCACAGAACATGCAGGTAGAAAAACACAACATTCCACGTGTCTCAACCCCAATGCAAGGATTCACACAAAAAAAAAAGGAAAAGAATTTAGGTGCCTACTACATCACAACTACTCTTTGTAGTCAGATCAATAGGGAATAAGACAGCCGTCATAGCTGATTTAATTGAATCCTGTGTATCACAGAAACATGGCTAGATAAAAATGCATTCTAGAAGCTGCAGTACTCAGCAACTACTTAGTTGTTCACTTGCAATCTGCTTTGACTCCAAACTGAACCTTAGACCCTCTCCAGTGGCCTACCCACTCATTTGAATACATGCACAACTATCTGAACTTAAAATGTTACTAATCTACCAACCACCAGGTGGAAATAGTTTTGCTCAGGAAATTCATTAGGACTGTCAAACAAAAACAAAGAAAAATTCCCAGCTCAACTTACCAACCAGCCTGCAACCAACTGAATCATTCTGTCTAATAGTTCACGTTTAAAACAGGGATTTAGGTTGGACACATATGCAAACATGCATATGCTGCAGAGCCTCTTCATGGCACTCCAGCATTATCTGCAGTCCTAACTCTATACATTTTGAGATCCTCCATAGTTGAAGCACATGTATAATAATATATATACTAGGGCAGGTAAGCCTGGTGGGAGCCCACCCCTTCTTAAATGCAGAGGGGCATACCTCCCAACTTCCTGAGATAGGAATGAGGGACATCTATTACCAAAAGTGTGTAGGCATAGGACACACCCCCAGTTACACCCCCTAAACCACTTGCCCTCCAGAGGATTTACTCCCCTTCCTGACTAGGCTATTTTTTGCAATATGGCGCTGTGTTACTTTTACTGACAATTGCGCGGTCATGCAATGCTGTACATAAATTAAATGTATGTCCTTTTTTCCCACAAATAGAGCTTTCATTCAGTGGTATTTGATCACTTGTGTGTTTTTTTAATTTTTTAAGCTATAAACAAAAAAGACCAACAATTAAAAAAAAAAACCCAAACAATATTTTTGACTTTTTGCTATAAAACATATCAATTAAAAAAAATCTAATTTCTTTATAAATTTAGGCCAAAATGTATTCTGCTACATGAGATGTCTTTGCTAAAAAAAAATCCCAATACATGTAAATTAATTGGTATAGCGTCTACAAATGCGGATATGTATACTGGAATTTTTATTTTTTATAGTAGTAATGGTGGCGATTAGCAATAGCGGAACTGTGGCGGGCATTCTGATATTGGGGGGGGACTGAACATCCCAATGACACTAATACAGTTATCAGTGCTAATAAAAAGCACTGACACTGTACTAATGACACTTGGCAGGAAGAGGTTAACATCTGGGGCGACCAAACGGTTAACTGTGTGCTGTTTTACATGATGTTCTGTGTGAGTTTTACTGGGGAGACTTGCTGCTTTGTATTTCTCTGCTGTGCAGAGAGATACAAAGCAGCATATCCTTTCTGGCAGGAGAGAGACCTGTGTTGTTTATACACACAGGTCTCTCCCCTGTCAGCTTTGCCAGGCGATCATCAGGTGCCGGAGGGGAATCTCCAGCCAGGAGCCGGTGATTGACACTTAGCTGCTAATGGTGGCACAGGTAGGGCGGCGCACACCCCCTACTCGGAAATGCAAATCACGTACATACATGATTTTGCGCAGCCCTACCGCCTGGTAGCAGTTGTTCTACTATAGGGCAGCAGGAAAGCATTTAAAGGAGAATTATACAAAAAAATTAAACCCAAAGGTAGTTTTTTTGACCACTGCTATTCCTTTATATTGGCTTTGGAAATTTACAAATGCTACAATTTAGAAATTGGACGAAATGTTTAGCACAGTTCTGACGAAGTCCGCGGTGATTGGCGGACGAAACGCGTCAACGTAATGACGTCACTACGCTCGGCGTCTTCATAGGGTGCGGTGCCCACGAGGAGGGAAGGAGCGGCGTTGTTCCAGCTCCATGCTAGGAAGGCACGAGGCTTTGAAAAGACTATCATAAGGCTACTATTCCAGGAGTCCACACATGGCAATCCTAATAAGAGCATACTTCCACCGGTGGCAAGTTATCTTTGCTTATTTGGCTCAGTTAGCGGCTAGCAGCTGTTTAGATTTATAGAGCCTATATGGAGTTTATATTGAATGCTATATGTGCCTAGTACCCCTGTTTTTCAGGGAATTTTTTGGAAATCCTCTTTAGAGGAATATATTTACTCTATGTCACACATGTGTTGAACGCTGTGATGTAGCCATATCCTTAAGGAACCGCTTTACTCTCTCAGTTTGAGCAATTTTTGAAACCCTTCACTGGGTATATAGACTCAGGTATATATTACCTGCTATATATATAATACTCTTTTTTGGAATTTATATATTGAGACTACCTGGCTTCCCACTCATATATACACTATTGCTAAGCAGAAAGGACCTGATCTTATTTCAAGTCGACGTGAAGTCCTCTTGATCTTCATTAATGGTAATATATACCTTTATTTTGTTTTTGTTTTTGATTATTCAGGGATTTTGCTTGATATTTATGATTTATATTTTTATGTATATCTCTAGAATCACCTGTTACTGTGGACTTTGTTTCACTTGGGGTGGTTACCCAGGAAGTCTCTACATTCATCATGTTGGTATGACAGCCTAGCTTGAGAAGGTAATGGAACTAGTAGTTCACTACAGCATGGGGCAGCTTTGGTGTGATTTATGTGAAATTTAAGTTTTTCATTACTATATCTTTTTGTTCTAGTTTCCATTCTTAGGAAGTTACTCTACATATCCTGGTATATACCAAGAATACGCCTGAAGAGTGTATGCTTAATCTAAATACAAGACTGAATCACATGGAAATCTAGGACCATATAGCTGGACAAAACCCCATTGCCTTACATGGTTCCCTATGTACCAAAAATTACCCAGAAATGAGGACGTCGAGTGCTTTTAAATTATTTTATTTGTCTGATATGTTCACCGTGCTTCTGTTTAACCTCCCTATGATCTATGTGATCAAATAAAGTACTGTTTGTAACTACTATATATTACTCTGCGTGGACATTTAAGTAACCACTTTCTTTCTGGGTGGTGTTGCCCTTGTCACACTCCCATATTTTCTATTAGCACTGTAAAACCCTGTTTGATAGATAAATAGTACATTTTATATACAACTATATAGATCAGACCAAAATGAGGAACAAATGATGAGGAAAGAGGGACAGAGGGACTTTGTTCCAAATGAGGGACAGTCCCTTGAAACCAGGGACAGTTGGCAGCTATGACAGAGGGGTGCACTGTACACCCAGCGTATAGCACAATTGCAGCTATGGTGTCCAGTGCCCCCCTCACCAATATACCAACAGTACAGACAAACTGCAGATGCCCCAATCTATAACTGGCCTTTGCAGAAAGGAGCAAATGGAAGGTCAATGCATGCCAAACAACAACAAAAAAACAGTATAAACACATGCATAATAATGGATAGCCTGAGGGCAGGTAAGCCTGGAGGGAGCACACCCCTCCATAAAGGATCAGTGTATCTATTATTATGCATGTGCTTCTACTAAGGAGGCTCTCAAAATGAAAAAAGTTAGGACTGCAGCTAATACTGGAGTGCCATGAAGAGACTCTGCAGCTTGTGCATGTGTTTGCAAATGTGTTTAAACTAAAGCCCTGTTTTTAACGTGAACTGTTAGGACAATTTGGTTGGTTGCAGGCTGGTTTGTAAGTTGAGCTGGGAATTTTCCTTTTTTCTTGTTTGACATGCGTCACCCTTCCATGTGCTCCTTGCTGCAAAGGCCAGTAATAGACCTGGGCAGTTACCATTTGCTTGTAACAGTAGGACTGTGCTGGCCGTAGATCACCCAGATTACTCATACCAGGAGACATTAATGCCTGGAATAATGAAAAGCAATCTCTATTTGGAAGTCCTTCTTTCTGAAGGGGAAAAACAGAACAGCCATTTTGTATATAAAAGATTTTGTTTTGATTAAATTATTAATAACCCCAAAAACAAAAATGTAATATATTACTGCTTACCACTCGGATGTGTCTGCATTTGTTTTCTTTTTTTAAGGCTTTTTTCCTTTGTTTTCATCTGGTGATTTAGCCAGTAACATACTTCCTTAGCTGAAATCCCTTAGTTGGCATACTTAGGAATAGTCCCCCCAGCTCTACTACAGCTGGGGCCTCAATGAACATCAACAAACCCCGCTAGAGATGCCCTCCTGAGGCTGTAGAACTTCTCCAGCAGAACATGAACCTAGCTGCTCCAGACCACAGAGTATGTATTTTCTCCCCAGCCACCTCCTAGGCACAGCTATACTTATACTTACCTACTTTGTGCAATGTTATTGCACAGAGTGGTCCTTTACCACCTATTCGGCAGTTGCCCACCAGCGCTGTCCACTCCTTTTTCCTCCAGGTGCCTCCTTAGCAAGCCGTGTACTTTAGGGGCACCCATGTGATCCTGAGCCAGGCTGTGTGCATCATAGACACACACAGAGCCGGTAAGCCATGCACCCTCCTCACAGGAGTTTAACTGACAACAGCTCCCACTACCTTCAGTGTCTCCTGTGAGACCAGGAAGAGAGAGGAGCAGTGCTGCATAAGAGAGGAGTGAGGTGTTTGGAGATTGGGCGATGTAGGAAAGATCCGGAGTCCAGGATGCACCCTCTCTGTATGCAGAATCAAGACACTTCCATTCACTCAGGCTTACAGCAACACCTGACAAATACTTTTCTTTAAAAAACTCTAATTTAATAAGCACTCTAAGTCCTCATGCACACTGGACGTTTTTACAGTTGCTGTTTTTTGGCTTTTGATGTTTTTTCTACAGCCAGTAAACCCCCCAGCATGTTATGCTATATGTCCATGCACACAGACTGCAATCAACGTTTTTTGGCAGGGACGTTTTTTGGCTGGAAAAAAAACCCAGAACTAGTGGGTTTCTAGAGGAGTTTTTTAGCTGTAAAAACGCTCTAATGCTGAAAAATGCGGTACTGGCGTTTTCTGATGTTTTTTTGACCAAAAAAAAGTTGGTTTTTTTTGTTAAAAAAACGCTAAAAAAATCGCAAATGGGGAAAACGCCACTAATCAAGGCAAAATGCTGCTAAACGCTAATCTAAAAACACTAAAAAAAAGCTGAAAAACTCACATTTTTAAACTTACTTAACACAGCTAACATTACCAGCGTTATCAAAACGTTTTTTTGACCCCAAAAAATAATTTTTTTTTTGGTAAAAAAGCTAAAAAATGCAAACTCATCAAAATGCCGTTAATTGCTGCAAAACGCCGCTAAATGCTAATGCAAAAATTCTTTAAAAAGCTGAAAAACCCATGTTTTTAACGTGACTTTACACAGCTAACATTACCAAAACGCCCAGTGTACATGGAGCCTAAACCCCTCATGAAGAAAAGCGCTATAGATTTTTTATTATTATTTTATTGTTAATAATTCCTTTTTTATTTCCCATGCTTTTATTTACATAATTACAATTATTTACCTACAAATAAAAAGAAAACAAATTCTAAATAACCTTTAAAGTATGTTTGACATCCATATATATCTGTGGATATACAAAGATGGACAGGCACGATTGTCTTTTTTCTTGTGGATGGAGAGTTTTTTTGCATTTATTTATATATTTTTGTAACTAGCAATCATATAATGTGCTCTGTGGAAGAAAGCATTCTTAGGTGTGTGTTTGTTCCTCAGCATATAAACAGAGAAATTGCAGAGGAAAAATATTTAATGTTCCCCTGTGGATTTCTACCGCAGCTGAGTGCTTGACATTGGCCCTGTGCTTGTTAAATGCAAAGGTACCATTTTCTACCAGCTTACTTTGATTGCTAGGAATGCATGCTATAAAGTACTGGTTTAGCCCCTGGAATGCATTAACCTTCCTTTCTTATCTAAAATCCTGGAAACTATGCCTTTGTATGTATATATATATATATATATATATATATATATATATATATTATATCTTTATTATAAGAAAATGCGATGGTTTTTTGCCAGGTTATCATACACTTAAAGCTGAACAATGGGCAGATGTAAAATACACAAAACATTAAACCTCTGTATTCATTAATGCATCATTACTTTTATTTTTTAATGCAATTAACCCCTTGCCCTCCTGAGGATTTACCCCCCTTCCGGACCAGGCCATTTTTTGCGTTACGGGCGCTGCATTTATTTTACTGACAATTGTGCGGTCATGCAACGCTGCACCCAAATTAAATTTACGTCCTTTTTTTCCCACAAATAGAGCTTTATTTCGGTGGTATTTGATCATTTGTGCAGTTTTTATTTTTTGCACTATAAACAAAAAAATACCGACAATTGAACAAAAATAACTATATTTTTAACTATTTTTGTCCAATAAAAAAAATTTAGGTCAAAATGTATCAGGCAACATGTCTTTGCTAAAACAAAATCCCAAAACGTGTAAATTATTTGGCTTATGTGAAAGTTATAGCATTTACAAATGGTAGTATAGATACTGGAAATTTTTTTTACTAGTAATGGTGGCGATCAGTGACTTATAGCGGGACTGCGACAGGCATTCTGACA